ATTATTGATTTCATTATTGTTTTCATTATTTCTTTCATTATTTTTTGTATCATTGATTTTATTATTATTATCCTTATTATTACTATTGTTCTGCCAGTCCAAAGAAACATTAAATTCAAGAAAATTCTTATTAGATTTCCTCGTACCAGGAGAGTCCGAGACGTTAATGCACTTGCAAATGCACGCCTTGCTTCGCTCTTGAGCCGGAGGGAAAGTCCGCTGAGGCGTGACGTTCAATTCCTTCGGGAGGGGGGGAGGAGGAGACCGGTTCCTGAAGAAGTTTTAGATATTTTGAGGATTTTTGGTTTTTGATTTTGTTTATTATACACACACACGTACACACACACACATACACACACACACACACACACACACACACACACACACACACACACACACACACACACACACACACACACACACACACACACACACACACATTCTCCCTTTCTCTCTCCATCTATCTATCTATCAATTTACTTATCACTCTATCTATATACATGCAAGAAAGTCCCATTGAAACATTTAATCCTTACACTTACACTCCTTCCGCCCCCCCCCCTATTCGCAAGAGAGAGAAACAGAGAAACAATAAAACACGCATTAAATCGACTCGGGCTTATGCAATGTACACTGGGATATAGGACACATAACACTGTAATGACCCACCGAACAGCTGTGTCCATAAAAGTCAAATTGGCGTGTCTTCCAACGTCTTAACGATCTGAAGAAAGGAAGGGCATCTTGGTGACATTCCTTCTGAACCAGAGATGATGTTTTGTGTTTGTTTTGTCCTGTTATTTATGTCCTGTGTTTGTTTAGCCTGTCCTTACTCTTCGTTTTGTTGGTGGCGTTTTATGGCGATTAAGCGTGGAGGGAGAAGACAGCTGTATGTGGGTTGGGTGGTTTGTTTTATTTTCGTTTTTACGTTTTTTTTGTGTGATTTTTTAAAAATTTATCTAGTTGGGTTTGGGAGAAGTCCAGTGGGTGGACGTGTTTTTTTATTTTCGTTTTTATGATTTTGTGTTTTTTTTTATCTAGATGGTATTGGGAGAAGTCCAATGGGTGGACGTTTTTTTTTTTTTTTTTTTTTTTTTTTTTTTTTTTTTTTTTTTTTTTTTTTTTTTTTTACCTAGATGGTATTAGAAAAGTATAATGGATGGACGTATTTTATTTCCGTTTTTATGTTTTTGTCGGTGGAAGTCCAGTGGGTGGGCGTGTTTTATTTTCGTTTTTACGTTTTTGTCGTTTTTTAAAATTTATCTAGATGGCAAGTACAATGGGTAAACGGTTTTTTTTTCGTTCGTTTTTTATGTAAATGTCATCGGAAAAAACCTCACGTGTTCCTGTGGAGTGATTGGGGTTTTGTTGCATCATGCGCATGGTGTTGCTGTGGTGTGTATGGTGATGGTGGTGATGAAGGTGAAGCGGGTTTCAAGGTGATGGTGTTGAGTGAAGTTCATCGTTAGTATTGAATTATCTTTTTGTTTTTGTTTTTGTGGCGAAGTTGCTCATCGTTGCGGGTATTCATTGTTCTAGATTGTTTCCGAGTGTTGTCATTGTCTTTGTTTGTATTTCTTTCTTTTTTTTTCTTTTCTTTTTTCGTGTTATTTTCTTATGTATCATTTTTTTCTCTCTCTTTTTACCTATTGTTATTAGAGTATCAAGATTGGCTTGTGGATTAGTAATTCCGTTAAAAAATGTTTTAGAAAAATGTTATTGTAAGAGTTTTGATAATAATCTCTGATAAAAGAAGAAGAAGAAGAAGAACAAGAATTAGAAGAAAGAAGAAGAGTTAGAAAAAAAAGAAGAGAAAGATCCTTATGTCGTCCTTCCATCATTCCGAAGAAGAAGAAGGAGAGATAGAAGAAAAAAGAAGAAATCCGAAGTAGAAGGAGAAACAGAAGAAGGAAGAAGAGGAAGAAGAAGAGAAAATCAATATGTCATCCTCCCACCATTCCAAACATTACTCTGATGCCTTATCTTTTAGATCCTTCCATGGCCTTATCTCACCTCATCCCCCCCCATTTAACCCCTCTCCCCCCTTTCCCCCTTTACCCCTTCTCCCCCTTTCCCCCTTCTCCCCCCTTTCCCCCTCTCCCCCCCTTTCTCCCCCTTTCCCCTTCTCCCCCTCCCCCCTTTCCCCTTCTCCCCTCTCCCCCTTCTCCCTTTCCCCCCTCTCCCCCCTTCTCTATCTCCCCTCCCCCCTTTCCCTCTCTCCCCCTCTCCCCCTTCCCCTTCTCCCCCTTTCCCCCTTTCCCCCCTCCCCCCCCTTTCTCCTCCTTTCCCTCTCTCCCCTTCTCCCCTTCTCCCTTTCCTCCTTCTCCCCCCTTCTCCCATTCCCCCCTTCTCCCTTTCCCCTTTCCCCCTTCTCCCTTCCCCCCCTCTCCCCCTCTCTCCCCTTCTTCCCTTTCCCCCTCTTCCCCCCTCTCCCCCCTTCTCTCCCTCTTCCCCTCTCCCCCTCCCCCCCTTCTCCCTCCCCCCTCCCCCCCTTCTCCCACTTTCCCCTTTGACCTCCTACTGAGGGACTGGACACTGGCAACACTGAAAAACAGTCCCCCTCACCACGCAGCGTTGCCAATGTGTGAAATACCAGTTTTGAGTCTTGGATCAGAAACACTTGTCAGGAAGAACAGAAGGATAAGGGAGAAGGGATAAAGGAAAGGGGGAAGGATAAGGATAAGGGAAAGGGAATAAAGATAAGGGAAATGGGTAAGGATAAGGATAAGGGAAAGGAAATAAGGATAAGAGAAAGGAAGGGAGATAAACGATGGTAAATAGGATAAGGATAAGTGAAGGCAAGGGAGATAAGGATGAGAATAAAGGAAGGAATGGAAGATAAGGATAAGGATAAGTGAAGGAAAGGGAGATAAGGATGAGAATAAAGGAAGGAAGGGAAGATAAGGATAAGGATAAGTGAAGGAAAGGGAGATAGGGGGAAGAATAAGGAAAGGAAAGGAAGATAAGGGAAGGAAAGGGATAAGGATAAGGGAAAGAGAGTGAGATAAAGATGAGAGAAGGAATGGAAGAGAAGGATAAGGGAAGGGACGGGAATATCAGGATGAAATGGAATAATGACGAGAGAAGGAAAGGGAGATAAGAATTAAGGAAAATGAAGGGAGGTCCGAAGAAGGGAAGAAGGGAGAGGAGAGGAGAATAAGGGGAAGGAAAGAATAAGGAGAATGAGAGGAGGAAGAGGAGATAAGAAGAAGGGAAGGAAGAGGAGATAAGAATAAGGGAAAGAAGAGGAGATAAGAGGAAGGGGAGGAGAAGGAGAAGGCGAAGGATGAGGGAAGAAAGAAGAGATAGTGATAAAGTAGAGGAGGCGGTATAAGGATAAGGGAATAAGGAGAGGAATGGAGAATGGCAGTCTGGTCAGTGTCGGTCTTTCCTTTATCATCTCGAGGCAGCAGTTGTTGGTACGTTCGGTCTTTCCCTGTCTTTTATTTCGTTCATTGTGCGTTTCTCTTTCTCTCCTGCTCTTCCTCTTTCTGATTCTCTTCCTCGTCCTCACTCTCTTCCTTCTCTTATTTTTCTTCTTCCTTCTCTTCTTCTTCCTCCTCCTCTTCTTCTTCCTTCTCTTCTCACTCTTCCTCCTCTTCCCACTCCTCTTCTCACTCCTCCTCCTCCTCCTCCTCCTCTTCCTTCTCTTCCCACTCCTCCTCCTCCTGCTCCTCCTCCTCCTCCTCCATTTCATGACCTCTCCCCTCTTCTGACCCTCGACTTCCCACGCTACCCAACTGGTCATCGCCTGTGCCTGTGCATGTTAACTTATATCTTGATTATACTCAAAATGTTTGTTAAAAAATCCTTATTCTGAATCACGGTATTATTGGCGATACTGCAGTTATCAAATGTTCACGATTTAATTGCATTGCCACAGGAATCTATGACTGCCATAAAGCAGAGAGTCTGCACTGACACTCGTACAAAAGATTAGTGTTTTCTATTTTCCTACGTTTAGTAACATTTTTCTAGCTGTATCACACGAAAAACGACCTGTGATCACCTCAATAACACAGAGCCGAAGTCACCCTGCCCTCAGCACTGGCTCGGTCAACACCTCCAGCTCACACAGACCGCTCGTCCTCGCTGGCATGGCACGACGCCCCAGCCCGGACGTCTCTGCCAGGCCTGTCCTCTGTACTCGAGCTACCGTGCTCCTACAGAAATAAAGTCTAGAAACTGCGACAACTTTAACTCCCAAGAACAAACCAGCATTACCATCAAAGCGGAACGCGAATTCGCCACACTATTACGTTAGTGGCAGACTAGTGGGATAGTCCCTGCTATTCATTACGTTGGTGACGGCGCACTGGGATAACGCACCCCCCCCCCCACATCATTACACTTCTTCTCTTCCTTTTTCCTCCTCCTTCTTCTTCCTTCTCCTCCTACTCCTCTCCCTTTTCCACCTCCTCTCCCTCCTCCTTCTAGTCCTCTCCCCCTTCCTCCTCCTACTTCCCCTCCTCTTCCTCCCCCTCCCTTCCTCCTCCTCTTCCTCCTTCCTCCTCCTCCTCCTCCTCCTCCTCCTCCTCCTTCTCCTCCTACCCCCTTCCTCCTCCTCCTCCTAGACTTCCTCGCACTCGTCCACAGATTTTTTCCCTTCGTCGGACAGATGCGAATCTCACGTATCGCCAGGCTGTGTTCGAGAGAGAAGCACGGAGGGAGGGAGAAAGAGAGGGAGAGGAAGGAGGAGGGAGAAAGAGAGGGAGAGGAAGGGGGAGGGAGGGAGGGAGAGGAAGGGGGAGGGAGGGAGGGAGAGGGAGAGGGAGAGGAAGGGGGAGGGAGGGAGGGAGAGGGAGAGGAAGGAGGAGGGAGGGAGAAAGAAAGAGAGGGAGAGGAAGGGGGAGGGAGGGGGAGAGGGAAGCAAAGAGGTAGGGAGAGGGAGATGAGGAGGGAGGAAATGATGTGAGAGGAAAGAAAAGAAGAGAGAGAGAGAGAGAGAGAGAGAGAGAGAGAGAGAGAGAGAGAGAGAGAGAGAGAGATCGTATCCGATAGCTCCTCGCAGGCGTGCGTCCACAGCAGCCGCAGGGGTGGGGACGGAGGGGGAGGAGGGGGGAGGCGTGGGGGATAGTGAGGGGAAATAGGTCGAGATGGTACGTAAGGGAAAGGAAGGGAAGATTAGTGAAAGAGATGAATGAGAAAGGAGAAGAGGAATAGGAAGGATCAAAAAAGAGAAAAAAAGAAAATCAGGAAACGAAAACAAAAACAAAAAACGATAAAAGGAAACACAGGAGGCATTTTATCACCTTTTCTTTTCTTTCCTTAACTCTGCTCTGTCTTCCTAACTCTTCCTTGACAACTTCTCCACTCCCTACCCATTCTCCTTCCTTCCTCTCGTCCCTCCTTCCCTTCCTTCCTCCCTTCATTCATTCATTCATTCATTCATTCATTCATTCCCTCCTGCCTTCCCCAGCTCTCTTCTCTCCTCCCCCCCCCCCTTCCTCTAACAAACTCCAACTCACTCCTTCCTCCCACCCGCCCTCCTTCCTTCCTTCCTTCCTTCCTTCGTTCTATTCCACTCCTTTTCTTGCTACCCCTCACCCCCCTTCCTTCCTTGCCATCACCCCCCCCCCCATCACCTACCTACCTTCCTCCTCGCATTACCCACCCAGCTTCCTAATTTCCTTCATCCTATCCCCACTCACTCATCCTCCCTCCTTCCTTCCTTCCTTGCAACTATCCACCCCACCCCCTTCCTAGCTACCACCCGCCCACCCCCCACCCACCCCCACCCACCTTTAGCCCTGTCCCGTTTACCCTCTCACTGACCCTCCTTGCTTCCTCCCCCCTCCCCCCCCCATGCCCACCCCTCCTCAACCCCTTCTTCGCAACACTTAATTTTCTTAGTTAATCCCTCACGCCTCCTACCTCCTTTCTCCTATCTCCTTCCTCCCTCCTTCCTCTTATCTCCTCCTTCCTTCCTCCTTCCTCTTTCCTCCTATCTCCTTTTTCCTCCCTCCTTCCTCCTATCTCCTCCCTCCTCCTCCTATCTTCCTCCCTCCTTACGTCAGAGGAAGGAGGAGGCGCCGAGGAATGATGATTAAGGATCTGCCGTTTTATGGGTCGTCCTTAAGAGATCCTTCTTCGTAATTTAGGATTTTTTTAATAGATCGGAAGGGGGGAGGGGGATGGGTGGAAAGGTGGGAGGAGGGAAGGGGGGGGAAGGGGAAAGGGTAGTGTGTGTGTTTGGATTTAGGTTAAGTGTGTGTGTGTGTGTATTTGTGTGTGTGTGTGTGTGTGTGTGAGTGTGTGTGTGTGTGTGATTAGTGTGAATTTTACAAGTAGGTGTTGGAAGGATACAGAACTTTCTTATCTTTTCTTATCTCTCAATTCCTTGTATCTCCTTTCGTTTTTATCCTCCGTGTCCTTCTTACGGACGCGAAAGGGTTTGCGTGGCGAGGAGAGCGAGCAAAGGACGAAGTGACTCTCCTCAGACAGGACGAAGCTGAAGATGACGTCAGCCTTGGGAATCTGCGGGCCGCGACTCCCCGGATGTAAACAAGCTCTAGTCCTCGAGTTCCGATCGCTGGCGCGGCGTCGCGATCCGTTCCGTGCTTTCCGATGGCGACGGGAGTTCGGGACGAAGTCGTGGGCGCGTGCGAAGTGGCATTTCAGTCCGATTTATGTGGCGTTTGAAGACTATCGTGCTGGGAAATTCTGCCGCGGAGAGTGGGTCGTGCTCGCGGGTGAGTGGGTGGGTGGGTGGGTGGATGGGTGGGAGTTCGCTATTTTTTATCCTATTTTTTTCTTCTTTTCTTTTTTTCCTACGGTGTTCGGTTTATCCTCGTCCGGCCAACACCGCTTTCGGACGAGGGACAAACGCACCGTTTTCTTTCAAACTGAAGATTTCTATTGCTCCCGATCAGCTGATTTCATTCGATCTTGTACACATACATAGGCCTACCATTAGGCTTTTTTCCTTTTTCGTATAATTCGCCCACGAGGAGGGAGGGTTGCGCCAGCGAGCTCGGAGGTGGATCGAGATAATTGGTGTTGTGACTCTCCGGATAATTACCCTTGTTTGTTTGTTTTCTGTGTTTTTTTTGTTTTGTTTTTTGTCCTATTGTAACAGGGGTGTCATGTGCTAGTTGCGTCCAGTGATGCTAAAAGTATTCCCTCATATGATATTTGTCTGTCTATGCTTGTTTATATCAATCTCAGTCTGTCTAAAAGTCCATCTACCTATTTTTTTATTTTTCTCTGTCTGTCTGCCTGTCTGTCTGTCTATATATAGGCCTATCTGTGGCTGTGTATGCTTGCTCATGTGTACATAGACGTGTAGATTAATGTTTTTTTTGTAGAAGAAGAAGGAAGGGGAGGAAGGGAGAGGGAGGAGGGGGGTAAGAAGGGGAGGAGGGGAGAGGGAGGAGGGGGGTAGGAAGGGAGTGGGATAGGGAGGAGGAGGAGGGGAGAGGAGAGGGGGTGGGCGATGGAGGAGGGGAAGGAGTGGGGGAGTTGGAGAAGGAATGGGGAGGATAGTAGGAAGGGGAGGAGAGGGAGAAGGAGTTGGGGGGAGAGGGGGAGAGGGAGGAGAATACCCTGGTGCTCTTCGGTGTCACGTTCTTCGCACTCGTCACGATCGTCTGTCATGTCACGTTCATCTTGCTCAGCGCCGCGTCATGCAATCATCTGTCACGAATGTCACGCATGCCAGCAGTTGCCTTCTCTCCCTCCCCCGTGCCACCTCTCCTCCCTCCCTCCCTCCCTCCCTCGTCCCTCCTCCCTTCCTTCCCTCCCTCGCCCCCTCTCTTCCCTCCCTCGTCCCTCCCTTCCCTCCCTCGCTCACTCCCTTCCCTCCCTTGTCCCCCTTTCTCCCTTGTCTCTTCCCCTCTCTCCCCCAAGTCCCCTCTTCTCCCTCCCCCGTGTCTCCTCCTCCCCCTCCTCCTTACCCCCCTCTTCTCCCCTCTCTTCGCCTCCGTCTCCCTTCCTCTTTCGCTTCTTAATCAGTCTTCTGCTTTTACTTCTTATTATCTTTGTATTTTGTATCTCTCTCCTTTTTGTCTGCTAGGTTTATCACCCTTCTCTGATCTATTTTTTTTCCATTCCTCTTCCTTTATCAGCTCTACCCTTCACCCTTTTTATCATATTTTCTTATTCTTCGACTTGCTCTTACCCCCCCCCTCCTCCCCCTTCCTCCTCAACCTTCTCAAATCTATTTTTTTTTTCCAACCCATCTTCCTCCCTTTATCAACGCTTCCCTCGCCCTTCTTTTATTACATTTCCTTACCCACCCGCTTTACGTTCCCCTTCCTTTTCTTCCTCTCATTATGCTCCTTCCAACTCTTTCATCACTTTTAACCCCATTTCCCTCTTTATCTTTATCTCCCCCCCCCCCACCTGCCTTCCTTGCCATCACCCCTACCCCCCACCCCCCACCCCCCACCGACCTACCTTACTTCACCCACTCTCACCCACCTACTTTCCTCCTTCGCATTACCCACGCACCCTTCTTTCCTTCATTCTATCTCCACTTCTCCCTCCTTCCTTCCTTGTAACTACCCACCCATCCCCCTCCTAGCTACCACTCACCCTCACCCACCCACCCACCCTTCTTTCCTTCATGCTCGACCTATTCACCCATCCTCCTTCCTTCTTTCATCCTCTCCCTTCTCGCCCATCCTCCTTCTTCCTTCCTTCATCCTCTCCCCTCTCACCCCTCCTTCCTTCCTTCATCCTCTCCCCTCTCACCCCTCCTCCCTCCTTCCTTCCTTCATCCTCTCCCCTCTCACCCCTCCTCCTTCCTTCATCCTCTCCCCTCTCACCCACCCTCCTTCCTCCCTCCTTCATCCTCTCCCCTCTCACCCCTCCTCCCTCCTTCATCCTCTCCCCTCTCACCCCTCCTCCCTCCTTCCTCCCTCCTTCATCCTCTCCCTCTCACCCATCCTCCTCTCTTCCTTCCTTCACCCTCTCCCCTCTCACCCATCCTTCCTCCTTCCTTCCTTCTTTCCTTCATCCTCTCCCCACCCACCCTCCCTCCCTCCCTCCTTCCTTCCTTGCCGTTACTGATAAGGCTTATCTCGCCCCGACTTCACCTCTGGACGCCGTGTTACAAGCATCTCTCTGTCTCTCGCTCTGCCTCTCGTCTCTCTCCCGTTGGCGCGTTAGGTACGTCCCCCGTGCATCTGTTTGTTTTGGTTGTTTTGATTAGATTCATTAGGGGGGGTCTGTGTTTGTCTGTATTCGTTTGTGTTTGTCTTTTTACTCGCTGTTGTTGTTGTTATTACTGTTATCATTATTATTATTAGTTATTATTATTATTATTATTATTGTTATTATTAGGTATTAATTATCATTATTACTATTGTTATTATTATTATTATTATTATTATTATTATTATTAATTTACATATTTACTTTTTCATTTTCTGTGAATATTTTACGAGGGAAGTTGTAATTTTGATTTTGATTTAACTTTTTTTTCTCGATTGGTGGAGCTTATTGCGGTGTTTTAATTTTGCGTGTTTATGGTTTCATTTATTCAAGGGGCAATTTACCTTTTTTCGTATTTTAAGATAGTGGGTAAATTTTAATGATCTCTGACTCGTTCATTCGTTGATAACTTTCTATCTCTCTCTTATCTCTCTCTATCTATCTATCCATCTATCTATCTATCTATCTACCTATTTCTTCTCTTTCTCGCTCGCTCTCTCTCCCTCCCTCTCCCTCTCTCTCTCTCTCTCTCTCTCTCTCTCTCTCTCTCTCTCTCTCTCTCTCTCTCTCTCTCTCTCTCTCTCTCTCTCTCTCTCTCTCTTCCAATCTTTATTCGCTTCTTCTCTCTTCCATCGATGTAGACGAGCCGTTTTCTTTATTTACGTGTTATAATTTGACCTTGACCACAGACCGGCACGTTCGTCTGTTTGTTCGTCTGTTCGTGCGTCTTACCTTCTTGTTTCTCTCGCCCACACACCACCCTCTTCCTCGCCTCGCGTCCTCCTCTTCCTCCCCCCTCCTACTCCTCTTCCTTCCTTCTAATCTTCCTCTTTTTCCTTCCTTC